ACTCTGTGGCATGCAGTGGTGTGATCTTGATTTACTGCAGCCTCCACCTCCCGGGTTCAAGCAACTCTCCTGCCTCGGCCTCCCAAGGAGCTGGGGTTACAGGCATGTGCCACCATGTCCAGCTAATTTTCGTATTTTTAGTAGAGACAGGGTTTCACCATGTTGCCCAGGCTGGTCTCAAACTCCTGACCTCAAGTGATCCAGCTGTCTTGGCCTCCCAAAGTGCTAGGATTACAGGCGTGAGCCACTGCAAATAATTGCTATATTGTATTCTTTTATTGTTTGTTTTTCAAATAGTTTCAATCCATGGTTGGTTGAACCCATGGATGCAGAACCCACAGATGTGAAGGGACAGCCTCTGAAATTTGGGCATTAGTAGAGAAGCTGGCACAATGCTTTGCACAACACCTAGTCCATAACAAGCTCTTAATTAATGTTGTTATTGTTATTCCAATTTATTGCTACTCTTCTTCCAGGTATTGCTATTCCAATTTCGTCTTAGTTGTATATTTATCTGCTGAGAAGGGTCTGTCTTCAAAACCACAGGACCCTAATAGATATCCTAAGTGGCTGGGCATCTCTTTCATCTTTTTCTCAAAACCATCTGCAAGTTTCCTACTTTGTGGGCAGCTGAATTGGAAATATGGGTTTCTAGGATCACAGACAGAATGGCGTAAAGAAAAGAGCATTTGAACCAGGAGACAAGATCAGTTTAATTCAACACACATTTATGGAGCACCTTCTGTATGTACCAGGTGCTACGGCCACAAAGGAGCGTGAGACTGGATCCCTGCTCTCTAGGAGCTCACACCTCTGCGTGAATGATGGACTAGTAAACAATTCAACAAAACACGACACGTGCAATAATGAATACAAACCAGAACAGGACAGCCACACAGCCTGAGTGATGTGACTTAGGATGTGTTACTTAACTGCCCTGGGCCTCATGGATAGTGAGATGGGGTAGATCATTTCTAGCTCCTGAAATACTAACATTTACAATTCTCAAAGCCCTGGGAAGTCAGCAGGGCAATTATTATTCCAACTTTATAGACAGATGGAAAGCCTAAGGTCAGAGAGGTTTCATATGGCAGCCGGAGTTACACAACCGCTTGCTGGTAGAACCAGACCCAGATCCAGGCAGGCCTTGGGAGCTGTGGAGAGTGCGTCCACTCCGGGCTGCCTTGGCAGAGAGCGGGGAATCTCTGATGGGCGTGGCAAGGGGCTTTCTTGTTGCTCCCAATTTGAATCCCATACTTACAGTTTGGAGCCGGCCACTGACCAAGAGGAAAGAGGCAGGTACCTCTCCACCCGCTCCTGGTGCAAGCACTCAGCAGAGAGTGGGCATTTCTGAAAACCAGGTCACCTCTCACAGAACAACACACTGATACGATGTGGACAGGATTTTCCCAGCGATCACAGGACCCTTCAAATGCCAACCCCAGTTACTGATGGCAACATTCCCGGGCCTGGCTTCCTCTCAGTCATCTCCTCGTCACTGGGCTTAGTGTGTGATGTGAAGGACACTCGGAAGATGAAGGCAGCTTTCCCTCAGCACCCCTGGACTTTTGGGCCACCCCACCCTCCACCCGTCCAGCATGTGCACACTTAGGGAATATGAATGAGCTCATTTAACATAAGCAAGGGGTTCGTGTTGGCTGTGCCTCTGAAATCATGCCATGCCACCAAAGCCAAAAAGATGAGGCTCTGGACAATAGCCAGCCATCGCTACCTCCCACCATGGCGAATAGTTCACAGATGACACTCCAGGCAATCTGATTATCATACACAGC